GAAGAGCCGAGAGGGAAGGAGTCGGCAGAGCATCGGTCCGGTGGGGCGGGGTATCTGAGAATAGACAGACGGAGCCATCCTCGGTCCTGCCTCAAGAGCGTTCCTGCCGTCCCCCGGACAGCCAGATGTCCCTCCTGGGACTTTCTTTCTTCAGCTCTCCCTTCGCCCCCTAAGCCAGAGGGGTCAGTCGGCCTGCAGGACCCAAACAAGCTCGTGAGTAGCTGTGCATGCCCAGGAGGGTAGGTACGGGATGTTAGAACATAAAAACGGCCGGACTGGGCCAGGCCAAAGGCCCATCCCTCCCAGTGTCCTGTCTGCCCACAGTGGCCAATACCAGGTGCCCCAGAGGGAGGGAAGAGAACAGGGAACCCTCCCCTGTCGCCCATTCCCAGCCTCTGACAGAGACTAGGGTAAGTTCGAACTAGGGTGGTAGTGTAGACATACCCCTAGAGACACCATTCCTACCTTAACCTCTATGCATCTGTCTAGCTCTTTTTTTGAACCCTGCTAGAGTCGTCACAACATCCTCCGGCGAGGAGTTCCACAGGTTGACGGGGCGCTGCATGAAGGCAAAACTTCCTTTGGCTTGTTTTCAACCTGCTGCCTATTCATTGCATTTCTCATAGTATGGGAACAAGTCGACAACCCTTCCTTAGTCGCTTTTCCCACCCCTGTCGGGATCGTATCGCTCTCTCTCCTAGTCCCCGCGTAGTCTCCTCTTTTCTAAGCTGAAAAGGGGGTTTTGGGGGGTTGTTTTTTGTTTTTTTCTTGACAAAAAGCGGGTTCCTAAGGGTTCCGGGGGCAAATAAAATGGGGAAAGACTACGATAAGATATTCTCCGACTTATTCTCCATCCCTTTTTTACCGAGTCCGAAAGTTGTTTGCTTTTTTGGACGGCCGCTGCACACGGAGGGGACGTTTTCAGAGAACTCTTCACAATGACTCCAAAATCTCTCTCGTGAGTAGTTGTAGCCAAATGACTCCCCTTCCGTCTGTGTCATTTGGAATCAAGGTTTTAACACAAAACGCCCTGTTCATTCTGACGCTACATTCGATTTTTTAAAAAAACATTTTTCTGCAGGGCACTTATACTAGGAAAATGAAAAAGGATCGATTCCCGAACACGTCCACTGCCACCAACACATTTCCACGAGGAAGGAGGGAGAGGCGATCAAAACGAGGGCGAATTAAATATACGACAGGTGGAACCTCTCTAGTCCGGCACTCTGGGCCGACAACCTCCGTGGTCCGGCATGATGTTAGTTAGCCGGATGTCCCCTTTTAATGGATGTGGCCAAGTTTCCCCTGGTTCTGTAAAGTTTATTTTCAGCTACCAGTCCTGGCTCTCCGTGTTCTGTGCTATTATTTGGCGCTAATTTACCCCTCGATATCCTCTTATAGTAAGCGGTGGCCGCGTTGATAACGTGCTCGACAATATTAACCTCCGTGGTCCAGAAAATTCTCTCGTTCAGCACCAGTCAGGTCTGGAGGGTGCCGGACTAGAGAGGTTCACATTGTATTTCAAAAAGGACACCCCCCAAAAAAGTTTGGTTTAGAAAAACGTATTTTTCCCCTCTCCAGAATATGCCGTTTAGAACAAGTGTGAAAAAATTAAAAACGGGCTTCAAACCGTCCCACCAAAAGTGGAGTGCGTTTCTGATGTTTTCTCGGCTCGCCTGTGGACGGCGTTCAGCCTGCTCAGTTACCTCTCTCTCTACCGAATCGATATCCCCAGCACGTCTTAACCTAAATAGCTGCCATACTTTCTAATTTCTTCCCCAAGAAGCGACTGCGTTTCAGTCTTCCACGATCCTTATCCCTGCCCCACCCTTCCCATCTGGCCCTCCGGGCTCTTCACCAGCCAGCGTGGGGGTCCTTCTCCCCAGCTTGGTTGAGCAAAGCCGGTGCCTTTCCCGTTCTCGGCCCTCTCACTTACACTAGGAGAGCTTTTCGAGGCGGGCCCAGAAGTTGCAGTGTTGGGTCGGCAACGGCCCTCGGACGCGAGACTCGTTCCGGCCAATGCGCAAGAAGTTCTGCTCGGTGGTGTTGTAACGGGGCCAGTGTTTCTTCGTTGTGTCTGTCCCCGTGGGGCTCCTAGAGATTCAACGAAAGCCGGCCGGGTCAGGAGCGAGGACGGGGAAGGAAAAGTCTCACACACAGGACGTGGGGCAATTTATCCCCCCGCTCTGAGAGCAGCGAAGTCTCTCTCGCGCCCAGAGGGCTGTTATGCTGGAGGGTGCTAGACTGTCTCTGATCCGCGGGCCATCACCTTTCATACAAGTTCCTCGAGGGAGCAATTAAATGCCCTTTTCTTTGGTGATAGCTGGCCCAACGGAAGCCACCGCCCAAGGCCCAGCACCACAAGTGGACAACCGACTCCAGCACTGAAGCCGAGAGGAGGAGGGGGATCCCTAAGGAGGTGGGATGAACTGCGAACTCTACGACCGAGCTCGCCTAGAGTGGGGGTGTGGAAAGGGAGCAAAGCCAGAGAATTTGGAGGCCTAGAAATAGGCCGGAGATGCCCGTTTGGATAGCGTGAAGAGGGAAATTTTGCCGGCTCCTGTGGGCAGGTGCCAGGACCTAGCGTACATATTTTGTAAATCGACAGGACTACCCCCGAGAAACACCCAGACGTTCGAACTGCCGGTTCCTCCTGCCATAAACCACGTTTTCAGCCGCATCCTGGCCCGAGGGCAGCCTGATTTTCTCAAGTCCCCCTGGACCCAGGACCTGTGTGCAAAACGTTGCCTTTTCAAAATGGCCGCCCCCTCTCCTGTCCTCCGTGGGGCTGAGGTGACACGATTCCCCACGGTCAGAGGGCCACTGTCTTCCGCTGGGCGTGGCGGGGCGGGGACCACAGGACGCCCTCAGTTAAGATGGCCGCCGTCTCCCGGGAGGCTGACCCTAGTAAAGATGGCCGCCGGTTGCCATAGTTACAAATGGGAAGGAAGA